GCGTTCATGGTTGTGTTATGCATGCAGATGTCGTTATATACATGTGTAAAGCCCCATTCACACCAAGAACGATAACTATAAAGATAACGATATTAGCGTGCACACCAGCGAATGATATCGTCTGTTTATTCTAAGCGCATGCGCGTCTGCCGCTTTAAATTCTTGAGCTCATTATAGCAGGATGGATTTTGATTGGCTGTCAATGTTTTTATCGTTCATCAGCTAGAAAAAAATCGCTCTGAAAATGATTCCAATGATATCGTTTCTCTGTGCCTTTATCGTTATAGTTGTGGTGTGGACTCTGCCGTTCTTTAATATTGAGAACGATTTTTAGAACTATATCTTTATCGTTATCTTTATAGTTATCGTCCTTGGTGTGAACGGGGCTTAATAATTATATGTGCTTGTTTTGTAGGGAAGAATGGCAGTGGCTTCAGTCGCTGAGTTCACTGGAGGACAGCGCAATGGTTTGTGACCATGTCCAGAGCGCTCCACATCGCCTCCTACTGGACCTGCGGACCGCTGCTAAAGATTTACTCGCCTACATCAACATTCCCAACCACCAGGTGCGCACATTCACACATGCACACAAAGACACGCAATTAGTTTGATTGCACAAGCAAATTAATGCCATTTATGTGGGAATTTAGTAAATCAGGGCCACACAGCATGAAATACACACATTTACATACATGACACAGATGAAACGCACGCCCGCTCGCCTGATTTGTGTGTATTGTGTGTGTAAATGGAAAATCTATGGAAATTTCTACACTGAAAAACATTTGGTATAGGAAATTGCTAGCAAATTTCACAAATAATTACAAAGAAATGACAAGTAACACACTGAATTAAATGTGATTTTTTTTTTTTAAGTAGAAAGTCTGAACTTGTGTTTTTTGCAAAACATACTCCAATAGACATAATTTATATATATATATATATATACTGTATATACAGTCAAACCAAAAATCATTCAGACACCAGACACCTGACCATGGTTTGCTATTAATGTTTTGTTATTAATTTCTTTTAAAAAAGGGCCCTAATTTACCGCAAATAATGATTTACTGTCACTTGATCAGTTTAATGCATCCTTTCTTAATAAATGTATTAATTTCTGCAAAAAAGTGTCACAATGTACTGTAAATAGTGTTTTACTATCACTTTTGATTAATTTTATGCGTCCTTGCTGTATAAATGTATTAATTTCTTCAAAAAAAGTGCCATAATATACCATAAATAATGTTTTACTGTCATTAATGATTGATTTAATGCATCCTTTCTGAATAAAAATAATAATTTCTGCAAAAAAAAAAATGTCATAGCGTAAGTAATATTTTACTGTCACTTTTGACAGATTTAATGCACCCTTTCTGAATAAAAGTATTAATTTCTACCACAAATAGTGTTTTACTGTCACTTTGATTAATTTAATGTATCATTGTTACAAAAAAGTATTAATTTCTTTTAAAAAAGTGGCATAGTGTACGACAAATAGTGTATTAGAGTCTGATGAATAAAAACCTAAACCAATCAGAACAATTTGGAATGAAGAACTAGTTTAATTTCCAAAACCATATACCATCATATTAACCCTATACAGCCAAAATAAAATAAAATAAAATACAATACTAACATTTCTCATGTTCCTCATATATCAGGCACAGGATTTCCGTGTGTATGTGAAGGAGGTGGTTGAGTTGGGAGGGGGCGTGTCCTTCCTGTTGCTCCTCCCACCGTGTGAGGAGGTGTGTTCACCGCCCGGACAGAACCATCTCTGCTCGCCGCGCTCAGGATTCTTCACCCTGCCGCTGCAGATCTTTGAGTTAGGTGAGACCACACACACCGTAAACAAGTCCACACACACGTATCTTCTGCCCCGTCCCCTGCCGTGCGCTCACTCTCTGTCTGTGTAGTTCATTTCGAGGCGTACTGCCCCAGTTTCATCGGCCTGTACTGCCGCGTGTCGGCCCTGCTGGCTCTGGAGTCCCTGATGTCCCAGCAGACTTTGCGCGAGGCGTTCTCTGAGTCCGAGCTCTTCGCTGCCAAGCAGAAACATCAGCAGGTTGAGGAGTATTTGCAGGTATTTCTGTCCTCTGTGCAATTTAACACTGGCAGCTCGCCGCTCCAGTTCAGCTTTCATAGGAGTAACTGATGACAGTAAACCCGCAATAAAAATCAGAACAAACTGTTCAACTGGGGAATTTACGGTATCATCTTTAATAGATGCAGAGCTGAAGATCAGCCAGTATGATCAGAGTCCACAGCCAGAGCTAAGCCCTTAGTACTTTAAGACATTTAAGATGAAAACTTATTCTATTTTTAATGTGTGTTTTATTGTTCTGATAAATTATCTAAAAATATATTTTAAAAAAAGATAATTTTACTTAGAAAGCAAAGCAACACTGTATAAGATATTACATTTTTATTGTATCTTAATATTATATATCTTATATTATATTTTATTTGCTTGTTTTTTTTCCAAAATAAAACAAACAAACAAAAAAAGCAAGCCTTTATCTTGTGACAAGTATTTTTTGGGGGGGAATTATAAATGATAAAATAATATAAATTGAAAAGAATTTAAACAGATTTGACCTTGATATATGACAGTGTTTCCCAACCGTGGTGCCGTCTGTCGAGAGCAGGGGTGCCGTGTAAAAAAATCCTTTTTTAATATTTTTTAATTGCTAAAATGTTCAAAAAAGCATCTATTATATAATATCCATTTCTGATGTCGCCAATAATTAGAGATGCGCCGAAATTCCGGCTGCCGAAAATTAGCTAACCGCTCAGGTTTCACTTTCACGTGGTGTGACGCTCTGCGTATTATCCCGCTCTATGCGTGTGCGCTCCGCGCAGTCGCTCCACTCATATACCGTTCATGCTCATCGGAACAGCAAAGTCCAAAAATTGAGCCGACAGGAAACATCGATGTAGTACAGTATTGTTTCTGTCTGCAATAGCCCTACTGTGCTGTAACCAGGTGTGGTAAATGGGCAACTCTGGTAACGCTGCCCTCTCATTCATTGATCTGCTAACCGTTATGCTCACGTGTCCTCTGATAATAATAGCTTTCTAGGATTAAACATTATTTGGATAATTGGTAAAAAAAAACACAAAAAAAACCCTACTGTTAGACCTACATGAAAAACTAAAAAGCTATTTATTTAATTCGAAGGCCTGTCGTAATTTTTTATTTGTGCTATCATTATTAATTTCTTTATTTGTTCTTATTTTATTACTGACTGCTTACTTGTCATTTTTTATTCAATTCAAAGTTTGAAATCAATCTCGTGCTACTGCACCAAAATTTACCCCACTGTAAAATTAAAAAAAACACTGAGTGAGCAAAAATTTGTGAGATAGCTAGTTATAATGGTAATTAAATAATGTTTACATATGTATAAAAGCCTACATTAAAATCTGTCATATAAATTGGTCTCTTCATTAGAAATTAGCCTACTGATTGCCACCATTGATGGACAAATTTTTTTTTAATATTAAAAATATCTGTATGACATTATATTCTGCAGTTCTTCCCTGTTGTACCGAATATCTATACTTTTCAAATTATCACATCGAAGTTAGAAATTCAAATATTGTGACAAAATTAATTTTGTAGGGTGCCACAAGTTTGTTAAAATTTCCAAAGGGTGCCGCGACTAAAAAAAAGTTGGGAAACACTGC